AGGTTACGGTCCCCAGGAGGGGTCCACGCTCAGCCAGCACAAGGCACCCCTGTTCACAAGCACAGGGCAGCCCCCCACGTGTCTGTGGGGAGGATGGCTCTGACATCCGTGGTGCCATGGACACTCTCACCCCGAGCTGGAGCATCACAAGGGCAGAGGCCAGCACAGGCACCCCTTGGTGTGTGTCCCCTCCAACTGTACCATCTGCCTCCGGGCCACGTCTGGGGAGCGCTGGCCCCCAGGATGGGTGTGAAGCCATGGGCTGTGCTCTATCCTGCCATGAGCCGACGTGACTACGGCCACCCCAGGAGGGCTGGAGCAGCACTGTCAGGAGGCCAAATACCTCCTCCTGCTCTGGGACAACTCACATGCGGGAGTTATTTATTTTCTCTTGTGCTGAAACAGGAAACCTCCAACATGCTGAAACCCTGGACCCTTGCCAGAGCCAGGGGCACCTCAACAGCGCAGCGGGAGCTGGATGCATCTGGAAAGAAAATGCGAGCCCTGGGTGTGCTGGGTTGTGCCCATCTGGCAGGAGATGCCCCTTGCGCCATGGGTGGAGGGACAGAGGCTGACGGGGGTCCCAGAAGGAGGGGACCCCACTCAGTAGCACACCCTGCTCCACCATGGTGCCACCCTTCAGCAATGACACCTCAGTGCCCGGCTCTGGCTGCGGTGCTGAGACCTGACCCAGCCTGTCCCACCACGAGCCACCAGTACTCCCAGCTGGACACAGAACATCCCCACAGTGCCAGGGTCAGAGGCAGCAGCTCAGACCCACTGGTGTAAACTGGGAGAGCGCTTCTGAAAGCAGAAGTATTTACACCAGCAGGGCTCTGGCTCGGGGCTCCCGCAGCCACACACCATGCGCTTTTCTCAGCTCTGGGAATACCCAGATCAAGCTGGATGCTCCCTGCACGCCGTAGAGCAGTACACCCCTGCTCATGGGCTTGCTGGCCCCCAGAAGCCTCAGCTGGCCCAACACCACCAGCACTGCAAGGGCTACACTGCCTCGGCAGTGGGGAAGCATCTCCTGGGATGCGGAGACACGATCCACCCAGTCGGACTGGCCGTGACCTATGTGCTCCTCCATCCATCCCTGCTGCGCCCGGTGCCCCCTCTACCACCAGCCGAACAGGAGGTAGTGAAACCTCCAGGAGAGCCCTGGTCCGTGCATGAGCCCCGGCGTGGGCACTTACCCTGTGGTGATGTCATCATCCTCTGTCAGTGTCTTCCCCATCAGATCGCTGTCGCTCATGTAGCCCGACTTCAGCTCCACGTCGTCGGTGTCCAGTGCCTCGACCAGCTCCAGGCGGGAGATGTGGCTCAGCTTGCTGGGGCTGCGCATGGGCATGGTGTGCGAGTAGTGCGCCCGCTCGCCGTGCATGTACCAGCTGGGGGTGCCCTCGGAGCGGCAGGTCC